CGTGTGGACCGCCCCGCCATTCTTGGGCTCCCATGCGTCCAAACAGCGACCAGTGCCGCGATTCACGACTTGACTCGTGGCGCTGTCAAAGGACCACTCTTGCGCAGGCGCATTGGCAACGTCGGCGACAAACACGACTGGCTCCGAGGACGGGTTTGTAAGCACAAAGTCGTACGCGTCCACGTGAAGCTTGTAAAAAGAAACAGTTGGGGCACTGGCACTGTTCCACGTGAAGGCCTTACAGTGGGGGCCAAGGGTGGCTGCATTGCAAAGGGTGTCATATTTGAGTGACACGTAGTACGTTCCAGCAGTTGCCTCTTTTCGCAGCCCTTGACCGATTTCGTTGACGTATTTGCCAAAGTCATCCGGAGAAAGCGTAAAGCTCACCTCCTTGGATTGCCCTGGTGTCAGCTCGACCTTGGTGTATTTCTTGAGCAATCTCGTTTCAGGACCCCCGGGCGCTGACACAAACAGCAGCACCGACTCCTTGCCGGTCATGCCGCCCTCGTTTGTCACGGTGACGGTCACCGTCGTCTCACTCGACGACGGCGACAGGTTCGTGACTGACAACCGAGCATCCGAGTAGCTAAACGACGTGTAACTCAACCCGTGGCCAAAGTGCCATTCGACCGGACAATGAGTCGTGACTCCGCCGACGACACACTCGTCCCCCACTCGTCCGTAGTACGGCGTGGCCAAGTTGACTTGGTCCGTAGACTTGGGGTACGTCATCGCCATTCGTCCGCTGGGATTGGTCAATCCAAACAACATTTCAGAGATGGCTTCGCCGCCCATTTCACAGGGCAGCCCAGCATACAGCACAGCTGCAGCGACGTCTGCAATGCCACTCAACAAGCGAGGGCGCCCTTCCACCAGCACCAAAATGATCTTGGTGCCCGTGGTGGCGAGGGCTTTGACGTATTCAGTCAGTCCTGAGGGCAGTTCGTATGGGTCGATGTTGCCCTTGAACTCGGCGTACGGCCGCTCCCCCAGCGCGATCACAGTGTAGTCGGCGGCTTGGGCCTTCTGCTTGGCCCAGTTGATGTCCCACCACGAGCCGTCGATGTTGACTCCTTGGTAGAACTCAGTGCGGGACTGATCGTTCACGACATCTGTCATTGCGCCCTTGATCGTGCGCCAATGATTGGGGAACATGGAGCTGCCTTGCTGGCCTTGCCACGTCAAGGTCCAGCCCCCACACATGAGTCCAATGTCGTCGATCGATGGGCCCGTGAAGAAGAACTTCTTGGACTTGTCCAGCGGCAAAACATTGTCCACATTCTTCACCAACACCAACGACTCCTTGGCAATGTCCCACGCCGCCGCCCGACTCGACCAGTCGCCCACCTGGTTGACGACATCGGCCCCCGGCATCGGCACGTCGAAAAGGTTGAGCTTGAGCTTCATCTTGACGAGGCGGGTCACCGATGTCTTGATTCGGTCGAGGGGAATTTTCCCAGCGTAGTACAAGTCCTTCATGTGTCCGATGAAACTCGTATCGTGCGGCACCATGCTCATGTCCAAGGACGAGTCCGTCATGGCTTTGTATATGGCGTCCTCGCGATTCGCGGCATAGTTGTGGTAGAACTCCAACATGTAGATTTCTTCCCAATCGCTGACCAGTACACCGTCAAACTTGAGGTCGTCGCGGAGGAACTGGATGGAGTTTTTGCGGTTGGCAGCCATGGGGATGCCATCCAACGACACGAACGAGTCCATACCGCTCATCACCCCCGCATCGATCGCGGCTTTGAACGGCGGCATGAACAAGTTGAGCAGTTCGTGGTTGCTCAGGGACACCGGGTCGCGGTCCTTGCCGCTGTTGCTGGCCGAGTACCCGATGAAGTGTTTGAAGCAGGCCGCCACCCCCTGGCTCTGGATGCCATCGATCGCTGCTTTCCCCATGTCCGCAACCACCGTCGGATCTTCGCCAAACGTTTCCATGATGCGTGGCCACCCCTTGTGGCGCACAGGTTCCAAGGTCGGACCGAAGATCCACGAAATCCCCGCCGCCTTGGTGTCGCGGCCGGCGTAATGGCCCATTCGACGGGCCAGCTCGGGATCGAACGTCGCGCCAACGTTGATTTGGTGGGGAAACAGAACGGCGCCTTTGACGTAGTTGGCGCCGTGGAGCGAGTCCAGTCCGTAGATGATGGGTGTACCGGTCGTGCGGATGTGGACATCTTGGAGTTGGCCGATGGCATGGCGCCACTCATGCACGTTCCACCCGTAGTTGTCCCCAAGAGCTGCCACGAACGGCGTGTTTAGGTACGATCCGATGCCTTGGTTGGCCAATTCGTGGACTTTTCCCACGTTGACCACCTTGCCTCCGTCTTGTGTGGCAAGCACGAAGTCAATGGTGATCTGCGTCATTTGACCCAGCAACTGGTCCACGCTCATACGTTCCACAATGTCGCGCGCTTTGGCGTCCAAGTCCTGGGCAGCGGACAGTATGGTGCATGCAAGCAAGACTAAAGCCGACGTCGACGTCACTACTCTCATGTTGATGTTGCCAACGTAGGCGCAAATTCGGAATGGGGTGATGACAGTCGAAGGTCCAAATATTACGCATGCTCGTCTTATACCCAGTATTTGGACTTGCCCGAAAATGTGTCATGGTATATCATGTAAGTGCAACTCTGTAGGTCGGAGACCATAAAACCATATGACGTTACTACAGCATTAATAGTATACAGTATTGTCAAATCGATTCGAAACTGCCCTCAGCAGAATCGAATGCCTTTGGAGAATGGATTAAACAACCGCCTAAGCCAATCAAATCACTTCTAATCCCTGCCAATCCAAACGTTTGACTCGACTCTGTCCCTC